GGACTCAGGAAGTTGCTGTGGTGGTGATGGTGGTTGTTATTGTTGTTGTTTCCAGTTGTTTTCAGTTGTATCCAACTCTCTGTGATACAATTTGGGGTTTTCTTGGCTAAGATACCAGGGTGGTTTGCCATTTCCTTCTCTGGCTCATTTTACAGATGAGGAAACTGAGGCAAACAGGGGTAAGTGACTTGCCCAGGGTCACACAGCTAGTAAATGTCTGAGGCCAGATTTCAATTCATGAGGATTAAGTATTCCTGACTTCAGGCCTGGAATGCTATCCAAACACAAGGCATCCCAAAAGTCTTCAGTCTTTTTTCAGTTCATGTCCCATTCTTCATGACTCCATTTGAAGTTTTCTTGGCAGAGATACTGGAGTGGTTTGCCATTTCTTTCACCAGCTCATTTTACAGATGAGGAAACTGAGGCAAACAGGGATAAGTGACTTACCCATGTTCACACAGCAAGTAAGTATCTGAGGCCAGATTTGAACTCAGGAAGATGAGTCTTCCTGACTCCAGTCCTGGTGCTCTATCCACTTCACCACTCTAGCTGTCCCTGAGTTCAAATTCAGATGACCTGAGTTCAAATTCAGCCTTGGACATTTACTAGGTGTGTGACCCTGGGCAAGTCACTTAACACTGTTTGCCTCAGTTTCCTCATCTGTAAAATGAGCCAGAGAAGGAAATGGCAAACCACTCAAGTATCTTTGTCAAGAAAACCCCAAATGGAGTCATGAAGAGTTCACCATGACTGAAAGAACTAAACAACAGCAACAACAAAGATAAGGAATATTAACCAACCTAACCAGAAAACTAGAGCTAAAGAGTGGCAAAAGCCAAACTATTACACTCCTGACTGTAAGGTCCAACAAATATGAGTGGAACTATCCCTAGTGCAAATTTAAATCAAGTTTAGAGACTCCAGAATATAATTTAGCTGTAGTGTAGTGGAAAGAGCACTAAACTAAAGTCAGAACACTTGGGTTCAAATCCCAGCTCTAACACCATGTGACCTTAGGTAAGTAACAGCCTCTCTGTGCCTCATATCCCCATCTCTAAAGTGGGGAAGATAATAATAACACATTTACATAGCACTCTAAAAATTACAAATTATATCTATCTGTTATTATTACTAATATTATTGACCTTAATAATAAATATACAGGTTTCACTACCAAAGAAAGATTTACAATACTTGACAATGAGCAGTGAGATAAAGCATTGAATAGTCTCTTATACATAGTGTTTTGGGAACTATAAGCAAGTCACTTAAATTCTCAATGCCCTAGGCAAATCACTAGGCTTTACCATTGTGCCTTTCACTTCATTTGGGAGCCAGTGGTAAAGTTTGCCCCTAGGGTGTGCCAGCACATCTCAGTACGCTGGGCCTGTACCCTATCCATGCCTGTAGAGACCTCCATGTTTAGTAGTTTCAGTAAATCAGTGGAAGTAAGCAGCAAAACTGATGTATTGGAAATCTAATTGCTAGTGATTTATGGAAGAACAAGACAAGTCTCTATCAGCCTGTGATCTGTTTCTCTTACAGGATCTAGACCTGGAAAGGATAGTAGAGATTACCTAACTCAAGGATTCTTAACCTGAGTCTACAGATAGATTTCATGTGGTCTGTGAACTTGGATGGAAAAAAAAATTACATCTTCATTTTCACTGACCACTAACTGAAATTTAGTATTTCCTGAAATTATTTTTATAATATTATCATCATAAGGGGCCCACAGGCTTCACTACAATGCCAAAGGGGTCTGTGGCACACACAAAGGTTAAGAGTCCCTGATATGTCCTATCCCTGTTCCCTCATGCAGATTAAGAAACTGAAACCCAGAGGGTTAAATATCTCATACAAGGTTATGCAGCAAGTAAGTGGCAGAGAATGAATTTGAATCCAGGTCTTCTGACTCTACATGTTCTCTCGTCTATATCATTCTTATTTCTGCTAGATAATAGTTAATAGAAAAGTAATGTGAAATATTACTCTCTAGTCTTCATGTAATGAAATTTCTACTGTGAAATCCATAATCTCAAGTCTTAAAAAAAAATTATGCAAGTAACATGTTTGGTTTTGGAAAGGATTACACTCAGGTTCCCTGTGGCTAAACTACTAGCTTATACCTCAGGACAAATTGTACCTTTCTACAATATACAAAATATCTCTCCTTGCTTATAGTCAAGGTTTGAAAAATACATCCTCTGTGTTTTTCTGTCCCCTAGAGTCTCATGATACTAGTAAGATTAATAGCCAAGTTCAGTATATCATGTTAATTTTAGATTCTTTCATTTAATTGGTTCTTCTCTTTCCTTTTTTTACTTCTCTTTACTAATTTTGTTGCCTTGGACAAGTCACTTAACTTGTCTGGGAGTCGGTTTCTTCAACTGTTAAAAGAAGAGGTAGAACTTAATGGCTTTTAACCCTATGATCCTATGACCCTGTGACCACATATGTAATTGAAGATTCTCTTATACCATCTATGTGCCAACAGCTTAACTTTTGGTACTATGTCTACCATCTCTCATCAGTAACTCAAGATGTTTCCTCTTCACAAGCAAGAGGGCATCCCCTGTGTACCCTCTTCAGCATAAGGGAAGCATCAGGCTTTTAATTCCATGTGTTTATTCTCACTAATAATATTATTATTACGAGTGGTAGTAGTAATAACAGTGGCAGTAGTAGTAGTCAAAGCAGTCATAATAATATTAGCAATAATAGTAGTAAAAGTAGTTATAATAATAGGTGAAGTAGTTAGTAGTAGTAGTAGTTGAAATAGTTATAATAATAGTAGTAATCAAAGTAGTTATAGTAGTAGTAGTTGAAGTAATTATAATAGGAAGAGTAGCAGTAGTTGTAATAATAGTAGTAGCAGTAGTAGTAGTAGTAATAGTAGTAGTAGTCAAAGTAGTTCTAATAATAGTAGTCAAAGTAGTTAGTAATTGAAGTAGTTATAATAGTAGTAGTGGGAGTAGTCAAAGCAGTTATAGTAGTAGTTAAAGCAGTTATAATAATAGTAGCAGTAGTTGAAGTAGTTGTAGTAGTATTAGATGAAGTAGTTATAAATAATAATAGAAGTAATCAGGGTAGTTATAATAGTAGTAGTAGTAGCAGTAGTAGTAGCAGCAGCATTTTTACAGTGCTTTAAGGTCAGCCAAACATATTGCATACATTATCTCATTTGATCATTACAATAACTCTGTGAGATCAATGCTGCAATTAACCCCACTTTACAAATGGGGAGACTAAGACTGAGAGAGGTCAAAGGTGTGAGACAGCATTTGAACTCCAGTCTTTCTGACTCCCACTACTGCCACTGCCACATAGGGAGGAAAGAATTGGGGTTACTCTGATTTTTTGTTTTGTTTTAAGAGCCCTATGAAATAGCAAAGAACCAGTTTTGATCAACATAGCACTTGTTCCCAAGCTAATCAGTACAACAAGTTAATTATGTCATTCTTGACAGGGAAAAGCTTTTACCTTCCAAATGTAATTTTGGTCTTTTATTCTGTGACAAGCCACTAAATGAGCCATTTCACGTTTTCCTTTCCCCTCGGTTAACTCCCAACTCTTCCTAAATGATTCCAAAGTCACAGATCCATAACCATGATGTTATCATGCCTCACAGAGGGGCAAGATAACACAACAAACTAACCTGTCAAAGGGTACCAAGTTCTTGGTATTCGATTTCTCCTCTTATGCAAGAGATGTGTACTACAAATGAATGTCCACACTCCCGTGGTCTGCTGTTTTGCAATAATGTAATTAAATTATAAGGAAAAGGATTGAACCATGGTTTCATTGATATAGGGAACTCTCAGGTGACAAATTCCTCTACCAGGGCAGGGTGGCACTTTCTCTGCAACATAGAGTCATAGAGAGTTAACTAAAGCAAGGAGAGGTTAAGTTATTTCCTCAGGGTCACACAGCCAGTATGTGACAGAGGCAAAGCTTGAACTCAGGCCTGTCCAGCTCCTAGGCCAGCACCATGCTGTCTCATTTAAAACTAAAAAAAAATAATAATAATAACAAAATTAATGTGTAAACGTTTGCTTCTCTACTAAGCGGGTCAGCCTCACAGGCCTGAGAATTCTCTCTCTCTCTCTCTCTCTCTCTCTCTCACACTCTCTCTCTCTCTCTCTCTTCTCTCTCTCTCCTTCTCTCTATTTCTCTTTCTCTCTCTCCCTTATTGAAATGAAAATGTTTTCTACCCAATATATACACTTGAAATTAGGTTCCTGGTTTTAAATTCAAACATTCTACATTACTATGTAGCTAATATAAAGCCAACTACTCCTCCATATGGATTGGACAGGATATGACAGTTACTCAGCCTACGTATCTGAAATTGAATCAGAGCCCTAAAATGTAAAGACTTGAAGAGGAATAATAGAAGAAGAAGAATATTTTGCTGCATGTATGTTGTTCAGTCATTTCAGTAATGTCCACTCTTTCATGATCCCATTTGGGAATTTCTTAGCAAAGATACTGGAGTGGTTTGCCATTTTCTTCTCCAGTCAATCTAGTGGATCTATTTTGTCAGACAATCAGAGGTTAAATGACTTGCCCAGGGTCACATAGCTAAGAAGTATCTGAGGCTGGATTTGAACTCAGGTCTTCCTGGCTCCAGGCCCAGTGCTCCATCCACTGAGCCACCAACTGCCATGTATGTGCAAGGATCTTATTTTGTTGTAGTTTGACTCAGAAAAAAGGAACAAAAGCATCATGATACAGTAGGAAAAGTCGTGGTGTGATATAATAGAAAAAGTCAGAGCCACTGGATTTGAATCTAAGTACTATCATTAGTTTCCTTGAGACCTTGGGTAAGTCATCACCCCACTCTGGCCTTCAGTTTGAGAGGTTTGGACTAGATGACCTCCAAGGTCCAGTTAAAACTGAGAATTTCAGGTAATGACTATGTATTCAGAGCTACTCAAAAGCTTACTAGTTTCCTCTGAAATGCCTACCACAAACATATTTTTATTTGTCTTTTATAGGAGTTTGTGATGATTGTCGTCTTTGGTTTGGAGTTCATCATCCGTATCTGGTCAGCTGGCTGCTGCTGTCGCTACAGAGGATGGCAAGGAAGATTTCGATTTGCCAGAAAACCATTCTGTGTTATAGGTGAGCATCAAAGCAATGATACAGACCAGCAATGATAGTACCAAGTCCTTTTCTGGGTCTCCCATATTGATGCAGATGAAATTGATACAGTGCTTCAGGGCTGATCTGAACTAAGCATTGATTTCAACATGTACCAACATTCCCCTTTACTATGATAAATGACACAGTACTCTGATTGAGATTACCTGGGATGGATAAATTGTCTAACGGCCATAAAATGCCCATCAATGAGCACCATGGAAATATTGCATTCAAAGGATTCCCTTTCACTGACACAAAAGAACATGTTCATGATTGGTTAGCTGGCTTGGATTTTTTTAAGGATACACAGAGCAAGGGAGAAGTTAGCAGTTTCTAGATGACCCTAAATAAAAGGTCATAACTACTTTCACATAGTCCCTCACCAACCAACCCTGCCGGTTTGGAAACCTAAAATGTGATGATCTGTACCAAAAGTCACAGTGCACAGTTCTGTTGTTAAAGACCTTTGAGAAATATGGAGCGGGGGCTTAAATAGCATGTCGAGGCAAGGAAGACTTGGTTTAAAGTCATCCCAGGCCTTTGCACTGGAGCTACTCTCCCAACACTCACACTGCCTGAGTAGGTCCCCAGCAGCAGCTACTACATCTCCCCTCGGGGCACTAAGGGTATCCCTTAGCTGGGGGGGATGGAGAGAATGTCTTTCCAATTCTATAGCTCACGAGCCCCCACCAGTGTGTCTCACATTATTATTTGACATCAATTAGTGAGTTAGAGTTAATTAGGTTTTAGTGTTTTCTGAACTCTGGAGACAAGCCCTATGGATTTTCTCACACTCAGCTGACACAACCAGGCCTGGGCTAGATGTAATAGCTTCTGTCTTCTACTTACTAACACAACCAGATAGATTCAAGGAATATCCAGCATAAGTATTATTTGTCTTACCCTACTTTTATTTTGGGGGCTGATAGGTAAGCCTGGAGGCAGGAAGGTTCATCTTCCTAAATTCAAATCTGGCCTCAAACTCTTAGTAGCTGGGTGACCCTGGGCAAGTCACTTAACCTTGTTTGCCTCAGTTTCCTTATTTGTAAAATGAGCTAGAGAAAGAAATGGCAAATCACTCCAGTATCTTTGCCAAGAAAACCCCCGAATGGAGTCATGAAGAGTCAAACACAACTGAAATGACTGCATAACAACCAGTTCTATTTCAAATTTTATGAAGGTCTGTGTAAAATATGAGCTAAGTGCTTCCTCGATGTAAGCAGACTAACACTAAATCTGCATCCAACTAGGATGCTCTGAATCCTTTCTACTTGGATACCAGCATTAAGTGGCATAATATTAGATGCTGTTAATCATGATACAAACAGAATGTTTAAGGAGCATGGCTGCCACACTAACTGAACTTAGGACAAGTATCCTATCACCCACATCATTTATCAAAGACTGAGTTCTCCCTCATTCTCTCTGATCTTTCTCTATATCAATTTTTAGACTGAAGTTCAAACCAAAATGGAATGTGGGGACCGCAATATTGTTTAGCCCTCTTCTTCCATTATTGCCATAGTTGATGCTTCCCTTTTTTTTCAATATTCAGTATCAAGACCTAACTCCAAGATTCTCATGACCTCTAACACAGGCAGAGATCTTGATCTTAGATCTGGAGCTAGAAGAGACCTCAAAGATTATCTAGTTCAATGCTCTAATTTTATTGATAAAGAAAGGAGGAAAGGGAATAAGTATTTTTAAGAACCTACTATGTGGGGGGAAAGAACCTACCATGTGCCAAGCACTGTGCTAAGAACTTTACAAATATCTCATTTTTTTCATTAACAACAATCCTATAAAGTAGGTGCTATTATTATCCTCATTTTACAGTTGAGGAAACTGAGGCAAACAGAGATTAAATGACTTACCCAGTATCACATAGCTAACAAGTATCTGAGGCCAGAGTTTAACTTAGGACTTCTCGACTCCAGGCCCAGCACTCTATTTGCTGTGCCACCTAAGAGCCTGTGATGAGTAAACTGAGGCCCAATGAAAATTAAGTGATTTGCCCAAGGTCATGCAGATAGTCTTCAGAAGGTGTTTTCAGGCATGCAGGTGTCACTAACTTGTCACTTTCCAGTCCTGTTCATGAATTCTGTGCCTTAAAATCTTCAGAAGCCTATAGAACAATCTACTACATGAAATTCTCCCCAGATATGTGCACAACAGAGGAACACTCAGACTAATATAGGGGAAGCCACTTGGGATCTAGACTCCTTGGAGCTGCACTGCTTTGTCACCCAGAGACCATTCTTGGCTTTCTCCCTCTCCCTCATGATGACACATTCAGTTCTACAGGGAAATAGCCAGCAGAACACTAGGCTAGCTTGGGTCTTAGAAGCTGACTCCAGGAAGTCCCGGAAGATGAGAGATTCTTGCCAAGGGTCATAGTCTATTAAGTAGCTGAGGCAGAATTTCAACGCAGGGCCTGCTGACTCTAAGACCAGTGCTCTGTCCATTATTCCATGTCACCATCATTGATTTAGAACTGTTGTCATTGTTTGTCAAAGGCTGGAAAGAACCGCAAAGGTCATCTAACCCAACTTACCCATTTCATAGATGAGGAAACTGAGACCAAGAGAGGAAAAGTAATTAGCCCAAAGTCACACAAGCAGCAAGTAGCAGAGCAGGGATTCCAATCTAGATTTTCTAACTACAAATCCAGTATTCTTCCCAATAAAGCCATGAAGCCTTCCCAAAATTAAATCCTATTTAGTTATATGAATTACCTTTATCATTAACAATAAGAATAGCTCATGTTCCTGTAGAAATCCTTTAATATTTACAAATTTGTTGCCCCAAAGTATTTCTGTAAGGCAACGATAATCAACCCCATTTTATAGAAGATAAACTTGGAAGACTTTGTTATGACTAAAGAGCATGGTATACTGGAAAGAACACTGGAATGGAAGTCTAGAAGGTGGGTTCAAATCCTAGTTAGATCTAACCCACTGTGTGATCACAAGCAACTCACTTCCCATTTCAGGGCTTCCACGGTAAAATAAAGAGGGTTGGCCTAAGGGATCTCTTACAGTGCTAACGTTCTGTGATTTATTCGAATTGACCACTTCTTTTCATTATCTGGTCGCTTTGATATACAAGTACAAGCTTTTTTTTTTCACAGAATATTTTATTAAGTTGAGTCTTTCATGTCAAGATTCAGCATTATTTTTTCAAACTTGGGGGGAAGAAAGATAAAGCTCAAAGTGAATTGTAGATGACCACAGTCCTCAGATGCCTCTCTGGGGCTGGATCCAGACTACTGCTATTTATTTGTCTAAATATCTCTTCTCTCAGAAGATGTGATTCTTTCTGTTGTCAGAGTTGTTATGCTACCTTACAGGCCACAAGGTGGGTGTGGGAATCCTTGATTTTCAGGCCTAGCCCACCCAGAAGCATGTAAGTGAAGAGACTTGATATTTCTCAGACTTTCTTGTTTCACTCTCTCCCTTCTCAGCCAGCATAAGCTGCCTCATAGGGCATGGTAACCTGATCCCAGGCTGCCTTACAAAAAAAGTACTTTGTATTCCGCAGGGAACCAAAACTAACCAATCCAGATAACAGATGGGCAGCCAAAATTCACTCAACTTTTACGGTATGAGAAAGGTTTTGTGGATGATTACAGGAATCTCCCACTCCAGATTTTAAAACCAATTTAAAATTGGTTTCTGTCCAATACCAGGGGTTGGGGGAGCATTTATTCTGGCATAGGAGCTAGGCAGAAAATTCCATCTATAAGAGCCTGCTACCTTTCGATAACTGCTTCTAGTCTGCAGATGCATCTGCTGCCAGGTCCTTGAATCCCTTCTCTTCCTGCCTCAGATACCTATGTTTCTTAAAAAGAAGAAAGAAAGACTGCAAAATAGCATCCTATTCTCTTTGATCCATCCCTCCTGTTAGAGGCCCACATGGGTTGATACATACCTCACAGTTTGGGTGTCATTTTATGTAGAGAGCTGTGATTTAATTGAATTCAAAGTACAGTATTGTCTGGTCTTTTTATTCCTGCTTAAATTAATTGTTTTGCAAAAGGAGTTAATGTCGTCAAAGTGAAGCCCAGTGATAACTGGTTCAAGGGACAGGACTGGTATTTGGGTTTGGGATAACTGTTACTTCTAGCTTATACTGCATGTACATGTTATGATTTCATCAAATGAGATAATATTTGTAAAGCATTTAGCACAGTGCCAGGTACATAGTAGACACTATATTAACGCTTATGCCCTTACCTCCCTTATCTGGGGTCTAACTAAATCTGTATAATAATGAGCTATGTTATAATGGAGGCTCATTTGGTAGTGGCATAGCCTGTCATGAAAGGAATTTGATTAAAGTAATAAAACAGATACATGGCACAGGCTAGAGCCCTGTGCTGGAAATCATGAAGACTCATCCTCATGAGTTCATATCTGGCCTCAGATATTTACCAGCTATGTGACCCTGGGCAAGTCACTTAACCCTGTTTGCCTCAGTTTCCTCATCTGTAAAATGAGTTGGAGAAAGAAATGGCAAATCACTCTAGTATCTTTGTCAAAAAAGACCCAAATGGGTTCACAAAGAGTCAAACACGACTGAAAACAACTGAACAAAAACAAAATAAAGTATTGTTGCTGTTCATTCTCAAAGAGAACCAATGACATCAGGAGCATGACATCTTGACTTGCAAGTGAACTGGATTTAAGTGAGGCTGGGCTGTGCAACCTCACTTTCTCCTCCAGAGTCATGGAGTCCAGTGGCAAGACATGGGTCATTACGATTGGCAATGACCCCAGATTCTATGGGAGACCCTAGCCTTTTTAATCTAAGGTCTTTCCCAGTTCTCAATTTGTCTGAGGCAACACCCATTCAATGTTAAAGGCTAGGCAAGAATTGAGGCAAAAGATAGATGGCCTGCTCTGACTTTACAAAAGAATCAGTTTGGGAGGGGGAGACCCTCAGAGTTTCTGGTCAGAACAAAAACAATTGCTATTTAC